AAAAACTGACGAAGAAGATTGCTCTCTTGTCTCTCTGTTATCGGAGTACTCTAAATAGCTAGAGAGTCGCGTAAAACGTCGTTATATTGAGAATATTTTACTCTTTGGTATTGACCCAGCTACGCTGTGGAATGCAAAGTTGGATCCGGATTGTTTGCCTCCTATCGAAGCTACGAATCTGCTATCCTATTTGGTTTTGGATACCAGCTTTTATACTGCTAAGCAGTTCAAGGCCTTCAAGAGTTTGGAGGCATATAACTAGATGGTTTCTGGCTTTATCACAAGTGTACAAGGGAAGGTTATCGCCGGAAAGTACGTGGTCATAGCAAAGGTGCGACATTCCCAGCGTATGAATGACCCTCCGATCCCCATTTGGATTATTTCGAGTGAGGAAGGAACTGTTATTTCGGCCCACTGCATGGGATGTAAAGCAGGATTAGCAGAAAAGTGTTCCCATGTTGCGAGCGTGCTTTTTATATTGAGACATGGACAAGAATCAACGGGAAACTAGCATGCACCTAAGTCAAATGCACGTGGCTTTTGCTGACCTATGTGAATGAAGTTCCGTACGCTAGAGCTCGGGTTATCAATTTTAAATCAGCAAAGAAACTGAAAGCTGAGCTGGATCTCAAGATAGATGACTTTGTGGGAGAGAAACAGTCCCGAATAAGTGCTCAAGCAAGACATAGCAAGACTTCCAACGTGTTAAGATCACCCAATGAGGATGAAATGGAAGCTCAGTTGAAAAAGTTGAATGGTTTGGATATAAAACCAGTCATCCTAAGTCTCTTTAAACCTTATTGTGATAGGTTTATATCCAGAAGCCAACATGTTGTTACAATATCAGACTTATACGACCCTAGTTATCTGAACCTGAACTATCCAGAGCTGCTGAAAAAATGCTTGGAGGTCAACTTAAATCTTAATGATAGTGAACTAGATGCCATTGAAGCCGACACAAGGAAGCAGTCCAAGGGGAATCTCTTCTACCGACACATAGCTGGCGGTATTGGTGCTTAAGTCAGTTGGTCTGTGACACACAGTAATCCTACACAGCCTTTGCAATCTTTGATAAAGTCTCTCTGCTACCCCCGTTTGTTCAAAGTCACCTCAAAAGCTGTCACCCATGGCGAGAAACATGAGGCATCTGCTGTTGAGGCATATGTTTCATAATAAAGCAGACTCACGAAGACTTTAAAGTTAAGTATTGTGGGATTATTGTTGATAAAGAGCATCCCTTGTTCCTGTTGTGGTGATGGTTGAGGGGAGGTTAAATGTCCTTATGGAATTGAGAATGGTGATTTCGATACCTACACCTTGAAGAAGACCTCCTGCCTTGAAAAGGTGAATGGTAAATTCAGGATGAAGAGAAACCACCAGTTTTATTTCCAGGTCCAGCAGCAGCTGAACATAACTAAGCTGAAGTACTGTGACTTTGTTGTCTTTGCATTCAATGCAAACAATCAACCAGTATTTTACCAGGAGAGGATATATCCTGATTGGGCCCTGTGGCAATCAGTACAACCAAAACTGACCAAGTTTTGGAGGATTTGTATTCTCCCTGGAGTTTTGGGCCGTTGGTACACAAGAAAATGTCACATGCCAAGTCAAATGCAAGTTCCAGCAGTATGCAATGACAATTCCATTTGTTATTGCAGAAAAGCTACTGAAGAGGAAACCACCACCTGCTCCAACTCCAAGTGCTCTTTGATAAAGTTTCACTTGTCATGTTTGGGAATAAGTGATCAAGTTCCAAAGATGTGGTATTGTCCTACCTGTCGTTTCTTGCCAGAATTCAAGAAAAGTGCTAAAACCACGAATGCAGCAGAGCACGATACATGTAACAAAGCACTCCACCAGGATAGCATCAGTATTTGTGATTCCAAGCCAAAGTCAGGTGATAGACTTCTTGAATGTCACAGTAAAGACTGTCTAAATGGAAAATTTTTTCATTTAGGCTGCCTTAACTGTAAAAGGATACCCAACAACAGCAAGAGCACATGGATTTGTAACAGCTGCAAAGGAAAGCCCCACAAAGAAAATGATGTAAGCATTAGCACAGCCAAAGCATCCCAACCCATCACCACACCATCAACTGAATGCCACAGTTCTAAATCAGAGTCTTTAAATCAATCTACCACTTGTACTTCTTCGAGCCCACAAGATTTTACTAGTAGTGATGATGATAACAATGTTCATGATCTATCTGACATAGATAACAGTGACAATGAACTATCTGATGATCAATCTGAAAGTGATGATGATGTAGAGATAAACAATGTTACTAGAGGAAACATTGATAAGACAACCTGTTTAGGGAATTTAACTCAGGCTGACTATGATAGCACTGAATCCCCAACTGGATGGTTAGACTGCACCATCATTCAACAAGCCCAAATTTTACTAAAACAGGTAAATCCATTGTTTGAGGGTTTTCAAAGAACTACGCTGGGACCAGTAAGTAACTTTGATGTTGTAACAAGTGAATTTGTGCAAATTCTACACACAGGTAACCATCATTGGGTATGCACTAGTTCTGTAGGCTGTTTACCTAGCATAGTAAACTTGCATGACAGTTTATTCCATGACATCATTGTAGATGAAGTAGAAGAACAGGTGACAGATCTAATGGCAGACAAATTTGTAGGGATAAACATCGTACCTGTCCAGCAACAAAGGAATGGCAGTGATTGCGGTGTGTTTTCTATTGCATTTGCAACATGTATTGTGTATGGTCTAAACCCTGGTATAGCCAAGTTTGATGTTCCACAGATGCGCCCACATTTATTTCAATGTGATTAGCCCATTTCCTGAGAAATAAGCAACTATTATAAACTGGTATTGACACTAAATAAGCCACAAGAGTTATAGTATTTATCTATTTATTTGTTATAGTTTATTATTATCAAAATATAAATGAAGAGTACCGCACCAATGATTAAGTTTATCCACCATCAGGGATGTAACAATGGTAAAATGGTTAACTGTTCAGTTCTTGTTTCATACTAAATGATGGGCAATTTGTCTGAAATAAATGTATACCATGTCGAAGGAATTACTCAGCATTTCCAGCATGACACCAATCTGTAATACTTGAATCAATGAAAATATTGTTCATATTAGTAATATTTATATTCAAATTTCAGTTTCTTAAATTGAAACTAATTCATTGGCATTTGATTAACAATGCTGTCATGAAGTACATTAGGACTGCAATAATGAAGCAGTATAAGTAGAAAAAATAAATGATAATTAAATAATAAGTATATTGCATATTGGAACATATTTCACAGAAGCACTCGTTAATGAACCTTACCAGTGCTGTGCTATGTTTTTAACACAATAAATGAAAGCTCTGTTGAAAAACATGAATGGAGGATATACCAGGAGAAAAAAATCCTAACTGTTCCCGTTAGCATAACTGCTTGATGTGCAGATCCATGTGTGTATTTTTAGAAATTTGTAGTACTTAGCGCAAACTAAGATATGGGTCACCACCCAGACAGATGCTGAACTTGTAACAACTTATCTTAATTATCTCATTAAATATCATGTATTCTCAACATATTAATTTTTCTTTTTTTTGCTTTTTGTTTTTGTTTTTAATAAAAACCTAGAAAACCCTCTAAGAATCCATTTGCCCCCTCGAAATTGAACCATTTTTAAGTGTATAATGTAAACAATGCATTTCAATTTTTATGGAAGGTACTTTTGTGGAAATGCCATTTTTTTCTAGCTAATCACTGATAAGCTCAGATGATCCAAAGAATTGATTCCTGAAATTTATTCAAACATATTTTCCTCAGCATTAACTCAAAGAGTATGATGCTCATCAAGGGAGACTATGACAAAGACTGAATGCATTGTTTTTTTTAAATAAAATTTGATTGGTCATCACCGTCTGAATGACTCCAGTTTTAATAACTTCACCACAAAGAAAATAATGCACTAGTCAGTGGAATCTCCTGCCCTTAACAACCCTGGGAATAGTGGGGGATTAGATTTTAAAAAAAATTGTCTAATATTGTACTAATGCCTGGCAATTCCCTTTCCAAGGCAGCATTTCTGCTAGTCTAACTCTCTTATATGTAATCAAGTAAGTGATCTACTCTCCATTTAATACCCTGCTTTATCCCCAGTAATGCCCCATATTTCATGGGTAGTCAGCGAAGGGGGATTCCACAGACTAATGCATAACTGAAATAGTCTAGTCAAATGGTACTATAGCAGGACATAAATTAACCAGAGCAGAGCAAACCTTTATGACACGGTCAATAGCTGGGATTTTATCTTCAAGAGATCCATGAGGATTACTTGCTGCGCAAGAGATCAATGACTCTTTCCACATGGATACGAACATTGGCAATTGCTCTTGTGGTTTCAACATTCAACTGGGTCAAGTTGCTCTTTGCCTTTGGTAAAAGCTGGAACTACCAACTTTGCCCTCTTGAATGCAATACTCTCATGTATGGTGAAGCCTCGATCAGCCATCATCATGTCGCCAGGAACCAACTTGCTCAAGATACCACAGTTTTCTGTCAAAAACTTGTCCGAGGTTCACCCACCCCATGCCTCAGAAACAAATGAAATGCTACCTTGCGGTGTGGGTAGTGGCTTTTTGCTTGGTTGATTGAAGAACAGGTCGATTATTGTCGTGAATGTGCGACTCCATTAAATCTGCCTATTTACTTCTGACTACCATCGTAATTTTGTTATTTTTAACTTTCAGTACATGCAAAATTTTCCCGATTCCATGCCATATACGATGCTACGTATTTATACCTCACTTCAATTTACCTACAAAATTGTATTCGCTCATCACTTCCATGAAACATATATTAACCCTTAACGGACCAACTACGCATATATGCGTAGAAATATACAAGCCTGTTTGGAAGAGCGATTAGATAGGTTTTCAGGGGCTTGGTTACGAGCAATTCATTTAAATATAGCTAATATGAAGTAGTTTTTCAGTTCATCGAAGCTTCGGTAGAATTTTGGAAGATTTCATTAAAGTTTTGAATGTAAATTTCTTTGTGTTGTTTTTTTGATCGGGTATTTAAACATGGCGACTTCGAGGATAGATCCAGTAACAGATTTTGCTATCGAAAGCGATGAAAGCGACGTTGAAGTTGAGTTTGTCGATGAGGATGACCTTCCTCTATCTTGTGTTCATTCGGGGAATAATTTCCTTGAGCATCCAGAGTCAGATGAAGAAGTGGGCTCCGATTTTTTGTCAGACTCAGGTGATAGTGAAGCAGGCGAAGGAGGGGAAAGCGAAGATGATGAAGAATTGGAGACAGATGAATCGATTTGGACCGAAGAGTTAACCACAAGAACTGATATTGACTTTAATCAAGCTGTTGGAATGGCTGTGGATCCTGCATCATTGAAGTCAAGCAAAGATTTTTTTGAGCTCTTCTTTACAGATCAGGTATGGCAGCTGTTAGCCACTCAAACTAACTTGTATGCTTCACAGAAGAGAGGGCCTGAAGAAAATTCAGTCTGGTATCCAGTGTCTGTAGAAGAAATGAAAGCTTGGCTAGCTCTTTATTTGTGCATGGGTATTGTTAATAAGCCAAATATTAAATCCTACTGGAGCACTGACCCAATACTGTCCACCCCATTCTTTCCTGCTACTATGTCAAGAACAAGGTTTGTTCAGATTTTACGTTACCTTCATTTTGCTGATAACAACCTTGCCCCCAGACCTGACTCACCAGACTACAACAAATTATACAAAATTCAACCTGTTCTTGATCTTGTGGTACCCAGATTTAAAGCAGTTTACCACCCTAAGAGGGAACTTGCTGTTGATGAGACTCTTATAAAATTCAAAGGCAGAGTTCATTTTAGGCAGTTCATCCCAAGCAAACCTGGCAGGTTTGGAATAAAGGCTTTTACTCTTGCTGAATCAACCAGTGGTTATGTCCTGGGTAGCAAAGTTTACACTGGAAAGGAGGCTGGAGTTGTCCAGAAAGATCTGGGGAAAAAAGCTGTCATGTCTTTGATGGAACCTTTTCTGGGCAAAGGATATTATCTTTTCATGGACAATTATTATACTTCTGTTGGTTTGTTTGAGGAGTTAGAAGAGAGGTCCACCCTTGCTTGTGGGACTGTAAGGTCTAACAGAGTAGACCTTCCAAAAGAGATCTGCAATCTTAAGTCCAGACAGGTGAAGCAACTGAAAAGGGGTGAGTCCTTGTACCGACAGAAGGGAACACTGACTTGCGTGACATGGCGTGACAGAAAAGTTGTTAGCATGTTAGCCACTCTTCCTACAGGTGAGGAAGATTCTGATGAAGTGGAGAGATCTGTGAAGGTCAATGGCCATTGGCAAAAGAAAAACTTTGCCCGTCCTGGTGTGATCAACCTCTATAACACTTTCATGGGAGGTGTTGATGTTGCTGACCAGAGAGTGTCAACATATGCTAGACTCATGAGGGGCTCAGTGTGGTACTATAAGTTGTTCTTCTATGTTGTAGAAGTGTGCATTTCAAATGCACACATATTAGAGAACAAATCACTACTTCACACCACCAGAAATGGCCTGCTTTTCAGAAGATCATTGATTGATGAGCTCATCCAACAGCAAAGCTTCCGGAGAGACACAAGATCACCTCAAAATCCAATCCCACAGATTCGATTTAACCAGGGTCACTTTCACCACCTTGTGAGCCACAAAACAAGATCTACATGCAAGGTTCACCTGCAACGTGTGGATACCACATTCAGCTGTGCAGTATGTGGAGTGCGCATGTGTCAAGAGCCATGTTTTCAAAGGTACCACACCCTGAGGGATTACTATTACAATGATGAAGAGCGGGAAGGACCCAGACGTCTAAAGGAAGGAAGGGGGAGGCCTCGGGCAAGGGGAAGAGCAAGAACCTTGCAGAACTGAACATTAATAACATTAAGGCCATGTTAAAAGTAAAATTTTTAACCTGAATTGTTTTTTGAGACAATTAACTTTCCATAACAGTAACTATACAAACTAAAAAGAACATCATCTTGGTACTAAAGTTATTCAACTATACTTACCTGAGAGGTCTGTTATCCAGTGCAAATGAGCAAGGTTTTCATTTTAAAATTATAGTTTGATGTATTCATATCTTAAATTAATTGAAAGGACGTCTAAATTATGTATTTTTGTTGCTGATTACAATTTTTAGGCAAACTTACTGAAAAATGTGCATAATTATGGTAATTATGCAAATCGTGACGTCACACATCAAATTTTATCCCATAATATATAACATAGATCAATAGCCCATTTTATACAGATCTCAGATATATATGGTTTATTATGGTTAACTTGAAAACACTATTGTTTACAGTGGCTTTTATCATGACCACTCAAATTTTTCCCAAAAAAATAAGACCCCCGTGGTCCTTTAAGGGTTAATACAAAATGATGTTGAAGAAATGCATGAAATATGTTATTATAGCATCTTTTGTAAATATAGTTTAAAGACTATTTTATATTTATTTTTTCCACTTTCGATGTGATTTTTTTTGTTTCGAATTTTAGATGATTATAATGACTATCTAAGACTAAGACCCACTTTTTCTATTCATCTTTAGATGTTTGATCTCTTAGAAGCCACATATTTTAAACTAGAACATGATTTCATGTATAATTACAAGCTACAATTAATCGATGATGTGCAAACCGCTATGACATATCACAACATTTCACATAATGATCTTATTCTCGTTGAAATTCATAAACATCCTGAATTAGATGGATATTTTAATGCCTGGTTTGAAAATAGTTTAACTGAGAATACATGATTATTATTTCGTAGTATACAATTTCCGTTTGCTTAATTTTTAAGACACTTTTTTAATGCTTCCCTATAGAGTTCTAAAGCCGTTACGTCACGTTACCATGGGAGCAGAATTTTCTGTTCTAAACAAACGTGCTCAGAGCCAAAATGGCGTCGCTTTCAATCGCTGCACTGATATCTTTCTTCGCTGAAGAAAAGAAGTCAATCGAACGAGGAGAAAATCATTACAGATCTCAACACATTGAGTCATTTTCTTACCATCAGGGTATTTTACGCGGTGAGGTTCAAGCAAGTATGAAGAAAAAGGTCTATCGAGTCACGGTGAGTTTAGAGCCACCAATCGCATTAAGAAGCCTAAGGAATATTTTTAAATATCTTTTAAGTACCTTCTTGTTATCTACTCCCCCAATTTAGAAATATATATTTTCGATCTTGTCGATTTCCCTCATCAAAAAAGCCAGGCTGAGGCTTAAATCGTACAGATTATGATTCATATGAAATAGTGTTACCAAGACATTTATGAGTTCACCTTGTTTGAACTTTTATCTTAATTACCACTTAGATTTACCTGGATGACCACTTCAACATAAAATCCACGGAGTGTGAATGTCCAAAGGGAAAATTCAAATGCAGTCACGCGGCGGCTCTTTTTATAAATGGGATTCACAACTTAAGCCGCACAGATATTGAATGTCAGTGGAGGAAAAAGAAGTCTAATACCTCCCTGTCTTTACAGGCAGTCGAAGAACTGTTCCCTCTGCCAAAGAATTATGTGGCGATTACTCGATCTCCCAACACAGAAGATCGTCAGGCACTATATGGAAGCTTAAAGGCATATGGGAGGTTCACTGGTCTTTGCTGGCTCATGTGCCCAGAGCCTGCTACCCAAGCCAAATTGCCTGTGCCAACAATTGAGGAAATCATCTACTCAGAGGAGTTTATCCAAACAAGAGGTACACAGCAACAATTGGACTGTTTGGTTCGGAAAGCCAAACTCACAGAAGCAGATATCCTGTTAGTCAGTCAGATAACTGTAGGCCAACGAGACAACCCAACCTGGCATCTTGCAAGGAGGGGACGGCTTACAGCAAGCAATTTTGGATCCGTTCTGCATGCCAAAAGAGTGACCCCTTCACTTCTCAAACGGCTCCTTGGAGAGTATGACATATCAAGAGTTAAGGCAGTACAATGGGGGGTAAACAACGAGGCAGAAGCGATTAAGGCATTTACCAATTTAACTGCAAAAACTGTACAGGAAACTGGGTTATGGCTGGATGGCTCTGGGATTCTTGGTGCTTCCCCAGATGGAATTGTGGATGAAGACTCTGTTTTGGAGGTCAAGTGTCCCTACACCGAAAGGAATATGACAATGGAAGAGGCAGTGAATATCTCCCCCAATTTCTGCTTGAAAAAAACTGAAAGTGGTTAGTATGCTTTAAAGGAAGAACATGTCTACTGGCATCAGGTCCAAGGGGAGATACATTTTGCTCAAAGGAAGCTTTGCTATTTTGTTGTGTGGACATCTAAAGATGTAGTTGTTTTGAAAATAGCAAAGGATGAAGGCTGGAGTGGAAACATTTCTAAGCTTACTCAGTTTTATTTTGAACACCTCTTCCCAAAGGTTGTAGAGGGACAATTATAGGTTTCCAGATCTATTACTGCATGTAATTATTTTTTAAGAAATAATAATTTTCAGGAATCATTAGGAGCCCTTTGGTGTTTAGTCTTCACTGATGGCATGTTGTTGTGGAATTTCTTGAGATAGGGAGGCTTTTCAGATGGAGGGTATTGGGAGCTCAGGTGTACTTTTAAGTTCACTCTAGTAACTTTAGGAACACAGATCTTCAAATCCCAACAGGGCTCTCCTGGTTTACTCAAACTAACTTTAGAAACAGTTACAGTTTTTGCACTTCATTGTTTCACAGTTGAGCTGTACTGCTCTGTTGTAGTGAACTGTTGTTGGGCTGAAATTATACATGCATCCATAAATTCAACAATGATAGCAGATTTACTTTTTGAATAAAACAAACAGATCAACATGTATTTTACAAAGTATTCAATTTTCCTTATATGAAAAATAATTAGTTCATTAATCAAATTCATATCCTTCACAGCCCTCTTTGATCAGTGGAAACTGCAGATTAACAAGTGAAGCACAGAGTTGAAATATTATATCTGCATGACAACGTAAATATGAGGGAATAAAAGATAAAATCTTGAAATCTTTGAGCCTAGCATTTGCCCTCTCAACATGAATTCTGCATTTTGCTATAACTTTTGTTGCCCTTGCTTCACTCTCAGTGAATGTACCATTGTTTAAAAAAGGTGGTATATTTACTGAAACACCATTTGGTACAAGATCCTGTATAACAAAACCTTTGTCAGCTAAGACCATATCTCCAGCAGTAAGGTGATTTAAAAATCCTGATTTCTGCACAATTGCTTTGTCAGATATTGACCCTGGATAAAGTTTGCTGACATAAGTAATAACACCATTTGGCGCTACACCCACAATAACCTTGAAGGAATGCATTCCCCTATAATTTGAATACGTAGCATTCTGCTGGCTCATAAGCCCAGGTGTGGCAATCTCTATGTCTGTACAATCTATCACTACTCTACATGAACCAAACTGACTAAAAGATGATGGGGCACACAGCTTGTTCTTATCCCTAGATGGGATGGATGCCATGAGGTCAATAAATAGAATTGAGTGTAAGACATGAATGAAAGTTGTTACAATATTTGCTATTGTAGATACACTGCAATTGAATAACTGTGCAAGGTGAAGATTTGTGTAATTCTGTCTGACTTTCATTAATGTTATAAATATTTGTTCTTCAAAACTGATTGATTGCACTCTCCAGCCAGCAAAGTAATTGATGGATTGTTTAAACCTAGCTGCATAGTTGACAACAATTTGAAAAACTTCCTTTGTTGGCAGCCCAGTTTCCATCTTCAAAACCTCCTCACTCATTTTCGAAACTGTGTAATGTTTTTGCACATAGTAATTTTTTTCTCTTTGATCAATCATTTCCCTTTTTGCCTGCTCCAACTCTGCTTCCAGTATAACTTCTTTTCTTGTTGATTCAAGTCTCTCCACGCTGCCAGAGGTGCCTTGTTCAAGTTCTTCTTTCTTCCTTGCAGCTTCTATCATTTCTTGTAGGGTCTGTTGTGATTCGATTTTTTTCTTTTTTGGCTTTGCTTCTTCTGCTGGGAAAAGTTTGTCTTGGTTCCTCTTGAAAATCTCAGGACCATTACTTTTTTTTCCTTCTCTGAAATGGCAACTACAGACTCTGGAATGTTTTCCTGGCTCTCTGTCTTCTCTCCTATAGCAAAAAGGATAATTTCAGCTTTATAATTCTTTCTGATTACTGTGCTATTAGCGGAGGATTTTTATCTTGCAGCTTCTATCTTATAAAAATTTCTAATTAAGAAGACAGTTCTCTATCTGCCTGTTTTAACACTGCAGGGTGACCATTAAGTATCAACAACCACACCAAAAGCTCTCACAACTGATTTCCGTCATTGAGTCAAATGTTGGCTCGTGGCTTCTAGGGAACCGATTTTGAAGTTGGAGTACAAGAAAAAGGAGTCTAAAAATCAGTAAGATTTATATAAGCTTAATCAGTTTCATAACAAAGATGGCGACTCCACAACCGCAATAAATTGCGTAAGCATACTTTTCTCCTGGACAGAAAAAGTATTGAAATAAAACTCTTACTAACCTCAGTAGGTGAATCCATCTTCTATATTCCTTCAGCTTTTTTTCCTTCCTAGGGAATCCGAAGAAGCTACACGTGTGACTTTCCGAGTGATGGTTGCAATCAGGCGCAAAGCAGTGCACCATTTTAATCGTTTCGATCGCCTTCGTTTCTCAGTTTTAGATTTCTATGACCTACAGCGTTAATAACAATGTAACTGAACCTTATTCTAAGCTTCTTGAACCGTTCCAAGCGATGATTACACACTTGACCTCAGCAACGCATAGGTTATCAGTAGGACGCGCTCGATTGTTTAGAACAGAAATTTTAGCCCCATGGCAACGTGACGTCACACTTTAGGACTCTATTTTTTCCTGTCGTGGCATTTCCTAATCAAAGAAGGTCATGCCTTGAAACAAGTTTGTTAAATTAACTAAATACCTTCAACTTTTCTTGGCTTACATATTTGTCAGACTTGTAGTACAATACACATTTACATTAATGGATGTTTACATACATTTCAGAATATCTTTACAAGCAAATGACCGATTTCCTTCAAACTTTCTATTTTACTTCAACAATGGTTGTAGACATAATAGTAT